AAGCCCACAGTCTTGTTATCATGACTGTGCTGGGTGACACAACAGAAAGCTGTCTTTCTAACTGTACCCCAAATTGCTACCTCACATGAAGGCCTGCTCCATATATAAGTATACACAGGCGCTAAGGAAATATTGTCATTCTAATTAAAGCAAAAATCTTTTGTTTAGTCTCATTATTTGATGGCCATTTCAGTGGTTGAGAAGTTTCAAAACAGTTCCATTACAATCAAGTCCATTTTGTCTCATCTGCAGGTTTTGCTACTCAGGGAAGGCTGTGGTGCAGTGCAGGGAGTTCTGAGCAGGTCCTGCAACAAGTTTGTTGGCATGATACCTGTATATTTGTAAAATGGAAAGATTTGTAGTAATGAAAATTTCCAATCTCTAGTTCCACCAAACAAAAGGTATAAACAGCACAATCAAAATGTTGAGCAGAATAAATGAATTCTAGATAGGGCAGAGGGGTGGGAGAGTAAAGGAGGGGGCAGGGGATTAGCAAGGATGGTGGAATGTGATAGACATCATGATCCAAAGTACATGTATGAAGACACAAATTGGTGTCAACATACTTTATATACAACCAGAGATATGAAAAATTGTGCTGTATATGTGTAATAAGAATTGTGATGCATTCYGCTGTCATTTATTTTTTAAAAATTCAATAAAAAATGTTGAGCAGACTAACTAGACACAGTAGAACAGAGACTGTGTGAGTCTACTCATGTAAATATATGAATTGACAAACATAATGTTTGTTTTGAAGTCAGAACCATTGCTTGTCCTATGTCTCAGTCATCTCATGATATTTGGAGTAATTTTTGAATCACTGGATTATTTAAAGCCCAAACTCAAAATAAGATTCTTTCATAGGTTATCACAAAGAAGGGTTGCCAATTTGTTCTCACCTTCTTTAACTTTTTTAACCTGTCAGTTTCCTATTTTTGTTCATGATAAACAACAAAGTTATTCCCAGACTTTCCCTGAAATAAATTCTAGGGTCCATTTTAGGACACAAATTGAGATTTTAATTTCTCCTTAGAAGTGAGATTGAAAGTGAAACTAGGGCCAAGCTACGTTGAAAAGGATGTAATACTAGGAAATCAGTTAAATTTCCTTCAGACCAATAAAATTTATGTTTCTCTCAAGCAAACCAAAAATAGTTTCAGGGAAAATTAAATCTTTTTGTGATATTTATATGTAAAGGAACTGAATTTTTCACCTATCCATTAAAATTGTTTCCAGATAAAGTAAATTTATTGTCTAAAGATAAATATGGAAATATTGGTTAAGAACAACTTACTTTTAGGTCCATTTAGTGTGCTTTCATCTGGAAAAATTACTTATAAATTAATTATAATAAAAACTCAGAAGAACATATAAGCTTAAGTTTACAGAATTGTAAGCTAAATGAAGGAGACAGTATGTTTTTTTTTTTTTTGGTTTGTTATTTTTATTTTTTTACTGAGTTTTACTGAGTTTTTCTGTATTATGAGTTTATTTTTAATTAAGTATTTTTTAATAATAGAAATATACATAGAAAAGAAGAATTTTCCACTTAAAAAGGAAAAGATTTATTTGAAGACACAATTTCTGGGTAACTTCTGGAACATTAGGTATGACTCTTCAACTGATCACTAACTTGTTAGACCCGTTGTTATTTGATTAATATGAACTAACTATGTAGAAGACTAACATGTAAGAGTTCAATTGAGCACAGATCAGTTATTTGCATAACCATGTACATTATGGTGTTTAGATAAACAAGTTTGCTTGGAAGGAAGGGTTGTACTGGGCCTCATACTGGGAGAGAAACCTGGGTTATGGCAGGTACTGGAGCTAGAAAAGGCACTTTATCCTGCTCACAAATTAGAGAGACAAAAGTTGATGACAATAGCAGGTTGGAACTTGTGTGGGATGTTATTTATTCCTGCAACTTACCTCAGCTAATTACAATAAACAGATGCTGTGTGTTTGGATGTTGATCCCAGTTTATAACCAGRGGTGATTAACAAGCATGTGAATTTCCCTAATCTGAATGAATCACCTGGACAGGTGGTGATTTCAGAGATTTGTCTGTGAATCAATAAACAAGCATTTGTTAACTGATACAAGGGTTGGTATAAATGATAAAGTCTGTGGGGTCCAGAGTTTGGGATGGACCAAGAGAAGGAACAGCACCTGATACCATTCTATGAAGAAGGCATGAGGAATGGCAGGCCTGGAAGCTAAGGCCAGCTGTTCCCTGCTCAGGGTGAGAACCTGCTGTGTTTCTCCCAACTCTGGAGAGAATTCTGCCCCATCTCATTTCAAGGCCAGAGTCCACTGTACAACTTAGCCATTGCTTTCCCCACTTTTTCACAGAGCAGGACCTCCCAAAGCTGCAGATTGGTTCTTTAGATGATCTTTTTGTAAAGTTTTTATCATTACAATGATATTACATGTAATAGACAGAGGGAATGTTCTACCACTGTTTTTCGATGGGGTAGCCATGATGCTAGTGACTACATACAACATTCTCAGAAATGGCTTCAGGAGCCAAGACAGCCTATGTGATTTTTACTTAGTTTAATGGTAACAGTTTTACCCAAATATTTAAATTTTAAAGAGATTTTTTTTTGAGTATGTAGTCTCTTGGTCTCTGTTCACCTTTGATCTCCTTTTCCTTTTCTGTGAGGGTCTTATCTGTCTGTGAAGTTGCATCAGTCACAGACTCCTAGGACAGCAAATATTTGTGCAGAATTTCTTCAGCCATAAGAGTTCAGAGAACAGTGGAAGTGCTGAGTTTGTTCTTGTCCTTTTTCCTATGGCCTTTACCACCAGGTACTATTCCACTCAGATGAAGTAGGGCTGGTGGTCAGGACTCCCTGTCACAGAGGCAGGCACATGCATCAGGATMGGCAGTCATGAGATCTTCTAGCAAGAGAGCTTTTAGGAGGTATGTAGAGATGCTGGGAAAGAGAGAATCTCTGAACTTACAGATGGAGGGTTCTAATTTTGTAGCTGTTGGTGCTGTGGTTCCAGGGGGGAGGATTGGTTTGAAGACTGAAGCCATCATGGAGAAAGCAATCCACTGGAAAAGGATTGTAGTAAGGATGCAAGGGGATCAAGGTCAGGGTAACACTTGACAGAAGGATTCAATGGTTGCAACCTTTGGATCCAGTTCTCCTTAAACCTACTTTGAAAAGCATATTCTGGGAAATAGATGTTTAAGGCCTTATTGAAAGGTCATAATGAAAACCAAAAATCAGGATGTCTTGTGCTCTCTAGGTCCTTGGTCTTAGGAGCAGTCTTTTCTAGTTGAGCGGACTTTTGCTATTTCTAGTAGTACTAAACCCACTTTCATCCTGTCCTKGGAATTTCCCAAACACATATTATTTCATTTTCAGTTTTGCCAATTATACTTGTATTTGTCTGAATGTAAAAAATCCATACAAAGTGTTACAGGCATGGAAGAATATATGATGTAAAGTTAGCTCTCTTCTTTCACCTCAACTATACGGGTGCCTTCCTAATGTGACTGTACACTACTGTTTTGTATTTTCCACAGGTAGGTTATCACATATATGCATATTCAATATTTTGTAAATTAAGTATTCACACTTTCTACATTTTTCTTTCATTAATGCTAAAACTTGGAGATGTTCCCCTACACATACAACTCCCCAACTTTTTACAAAGATTATGGAATATCATTTTAAAAATATGTCCTATGATTTACCTTATTAGTACCTGACACAGGGACTTTCAATTKCTCCCAGTCTTTTGTAATCATCATGACACTGAAATAAGTAAACCACTACAAAAATCATTTTCATTTGGGTGAAAAGACACATAAGTGAATTTCCTGTACATGGAATTGCTAGATCAGAGATATGTATATTTTAATTTTTGATGTATATTATTAAAACTGTTCTTCACTATCCATTAAGAAGGCAAAACTATGTCCTTCACAGTTTCATTTTGCACATTAGGTTTAGAAAAAAGGAAATTTTTTTCATGTTTCTTTATATTTAAACAATGTGGTTGTTGGTCATTTTCCACAAGAGCTCATCATGACTTAAAAAACTTTTATGACTAGATATGAATTGCAAATATTTTCTTCACATGGCTATATAGCTTTTTGCTTTACTTAAGCCATTTCTAAAAATCATTTCCTATTGTCTTAGTTGTTTCTTATTTCTTCAATTCAATAAAAATCATGGGATAAACTCATATCTTTGATAACTACTTTTTATTTTTAAATTTTTCTTGAATGAAGCTGATATGACACCATCTCCTTTAAAAGGAGCTATAGTAAAATACTATTAAAATAAAAGACACCTCATTTTATAATTTCCTATGATGAATCCTCTGGCTACTCTTAATGGCACTAATAATTTTCATCCCTACCTGTGTACTCACGCACACAAACAGTTAAGTTTTGCTGTGCCTAGCAAAACAAAGGGGTTCTATGAGAAACTATGAACTCTTTGAGCTGTGTCCTTGTTGCAGCCTTGAGGAGATGGGAGAAAAGAATGTTCTACCAAGTTTAAAACCTATATAGATATAGATATGTGATTGCCCGGAAATTAACTAACTACAACTCAGATAATAAGAAATATGGAGCACTGTGACCATGAACAATGTTACTCTGAGAATGTCTATCCATGCTTGCTAAGATCAAGCTGCCAGAAAGATGTGTTTCATTTTTGCTGTATAAAAGAAGCAGGGAAGAAATAAAGGTGCTGCTTATTCTCTACTGGATGTGTGTGTGCGTGTCTTTCTTTATGCGTCTCTGCTGTGTCTTTCTTTATGCGTCTCTGCTGTGTCTTTCTTTATGCATCTCTGCTGTACCAGGAATTACAGATTGTCAGAGGGTTCTGACACCTACTCCAACTAGTTTTACCAGTCCCAAGGACTATTACAAGGAAAACAGTGGGAGTTATATCAAGAATCTGGGAAAATATCRAGGGTGTCATCTTTTTACATGTTTCAATCTCTTCTCTTAGATTTATCTCTGTAGTTCATGCCTCAGACTTCTCTCTAARTCCCTCAATAAGCAGTTCTTCTTGGACCTATAAAAGAGGAAGAGTCCAMTATTGAGAATCCCTGGTTATTAACTGCAAGAGTTCTGGATTTAAGAAGTTCAGCAGTTAAGCACGTGTGTCTATTTCTCTATTCCTTAGACTATTCTTTGGTATTTCCAGACCTTTGACCTGAAGAGGGGCASTACCCAGGGCACACTTGTGAGATTTCCTCACACTCACTGGAGGTGGGGAGGAATTTTATTCCAGCACAAAGCATGCTGTGTCAGGGAGAATGAGGTTGAATTCTGATTGATTCTCACATCCACCAAGGTGGCATGGCTGTGACCCTCTAACAAGTCATGGGAAATGCTACCCTTGTACAGAACACTGGTCATCAAGCTCCTGGTTGTGAGACAGGTTTGTTTTATTCTACTTGTATAGATTTACCAGGAAGACACGGAAGCAAGTGGAGCAATTTCTGATCTTTCACTGTCCTAATTTTATATGAGGCCAAATCTGATGCATACAGACCAGAAGGATCTGTTTCAGGTCTCTTGGATGGTTGTGCCAGAATCCTCCTCAATTGGGGCACATAATCTCAACAAAGAGTAATCCACCACCAGGGGGTTATTATCTGTACCTTCCAAAGTCTATTATCTGTACCCTCCAAATATACAAAGTGCTGGAGTCTCATAGATTTATGGGCTTCATTAGGATCCAGGTGCACTTGAGGTGTCTGTGTCAAACATTTGCCTTCTGAGTGTCCCTTTGGAATGCTGTCTGCATCTAACATCTTGTCCCATCCCATCCTGAGAAATCAGGCAGTGTATGTCAGGCCCTGTAGAGACTCACCTTCAGCTTGTGCTCCAGCACCCTTTCCTGCTCTCTCAGAATGTTCTCCCTTTCTCTCTCCATCTTCTCCTTAAGCTGTTCCATATTTTTCTGGAAGCTTCTCTCTTGGGCCTCCATCCTTTCCTGCTACTCTTTCTCTGCTGTCTTAGCAGCTCCTGTTCCTTCTCAGCTGCMTCCTTCTTTGCTCGCTCGTCTGCTCCACAGAGATTTTAGAAGAGAGAAGAAACAACAGGCTTGCATTCTAGCCTCCTAGGTTAGCACACCAAGGTGATTTCAGAACAGGCAAGAGGGAAATCTCTCAATTTGCCCAATAGCCACAACAGCAAGACGATGTTTGCAAATGTGATGGAAAACTATTTGCTGGACTCCCCTCTTGCTCTCAGATTTAGCAGAGCCTGTGCTCAATAGCAGGAAGAAGCTTCTGGTTTCAGGAAGATTTTCCTGTCCAGTTAGTCAAGGTSTGTGCAGGAACCTTGCCTTCCTCTGAAAGCTATGATCTCCCCTGTACCTCTTATGGCCTTCTGTCCATCAGTGAGGGCTTTATCTGACTGCAGGATAGATTTTTCTATGGCAGACAGAGAGTGTAGGAAGCTCTGGAGGACCTCCTTTGCCTGGGGAACCAAGAACAAACAAAAACACTTTAGGTATCAAAGATCTGGTATTCAGATGAGGATGGTATTATTCCATAAAACCATAAAACTGACTTTAAAATTTGCATTCTTAGTTATGATCCCATAGAGATTTCTTTCCTTCAGTGTAACAATGGAAGTTCATGCTCTTTGCTGAGACATGAAAACCTTGTATAGCAGCCTCCATCCTAGCTTTGCAGCCTCTTCTCTCATGAATGCTCCCCACCTGCCACCCCAGGTTGCAGCCCTGGTTAGATGAAGGAGCAGGTCTAGAAATATATCCTGTCTTTTGTTTGTGGTATGTGCACATCCTTTTTCTCCATCTCATCTAGGGTTTCTTAACTAGGATCACATCTACAGTTTCCTTGACTAGTATCTCCCAATCTATACCATGAAACTTTTCTAGGCTGACTTCTGAGTTTCTTTTCATCTTTGTTGAGATTAAAAAATAAAAATTGTATACATTGCAGGTGTACAACATGATGTTTAATATATGTCTGCATTGATATATGGTTCCTACAATCAAGCCAATTTTCATATTGATTACATCACAGTTACATTCTTCTATATTCATGAGAATGACGAGGTCTACTCTTAGTAACATTCAGGTACACAACAGATTATTTTGTCTACAGTCACATTTGTACATCAGGTGGGCAGGGCTTACTCATCTATAGATGTATGTTATGGTGCCACTGAATGTGAACTATAGAGCATTTGTCTTTCTGTGTCTGGCTCATTTCCTTTAGTGCAATATTCTCAGGGTAATCCATGTTGTTATCATTGGTAGGGCTTTTTTTTAAAGACTGAATAATATTCTGTCACATATATGACATATATAATTGTATTATTTAGTAATCACAACTGCATGGTATTGGTATAAAAATCAACACAAACTCCAGTAGAACAGAATAAAGAGGTAGGAAAGAATGGAATTGGACCACTGTCTTATACCTTATATAAAAATGAACTAATATGAATGAAAGATTTAACATGAGACCTACAACTGTAAAATGCCTAGAATAAAACTTAGGTGAAATACCCACTGACATTTGCCTTCTCAATGATTTTGTGCATTTAAACCAAAAGAACAGGCAACAAAAGCAAAAATAAATAAGGGCCTATGCATCAATATAAAGTTTCTTCACAGCCCAGAAACTATCAACAAAATGAAAGGTACATGAAAGGAGAAAATATTTGCAAACTATTCATCTCATAAGAGGTTAATTACAAAGTATTTTAGATATTCCTACAACACAATAGATTTTTTTTAAATACATGACTTCATTAAAAAGTGGGGAAAGAATCTGAATAGACATTTTTCAAAAGAAGAAATTCAAATGTCAAACAGATAGTTGTAAAAGTGCTCAACATCACTAATACCAGTGAAAAACAAGTAAAAATCACAATGAGATCACAGCATACCTGTGAGGGTGGTTATTATTAATACGCCAAAGGAGAACAGAAGTTACTGAGGATGTAGAGAAAAGGGAGCCTTGTAGAACAGCTGGGGGGATGTGAAGTGCTGCAGCCATCATGGAAAACAGCAGGAGGATTTCAAAAGAAGAAAAGAGTTCTGAGTTTCTAAAGGCTGCCCTATCAGCTGTGTCACTGGCTGGCTGTATGATCTTCAGCCACTTATAAGATCCTCATGCTCTACATTTCTTTACTGCATAAATGTGGAAGACAGTACCACGTAGTTTCCATGACCAATTTAATACCAGAATTAAGTTGGTATTGCAAGAAAATGACCTGAAACTGTACCTGGTATAGGAAGTGAATGTTCAATGTCTGTTAACAAATGGTCATCATCATCCTCAATGTTACTATCAGCACACACCCAATTACCATTAAAATTTAGTGTTAATACACTATATCCTATTGAATATTACTTTACCCACTTAAAGTATGATACATTTTATGAGAACAAAGTTATTGCTTTCCTATTGTATCTTCTTACTTGGCCTAAAAACACTATCATTCTGAGTAAATAAAAGAAATRGTTGGTTTCACCAGAATTCCTTGTTCTAAATCCTCTCTGGGAAGAACTATTTTCAGTTTATTGAAGGGTGTCTAATGAATAGTGAATACAAAATGATATAAATGTCAACATATTGCCATTCTCTGCCTTAGTTTCACAAATGGTTCTATGAGCTTAGAGTYTGTGAGGGAACAACACAGACCTTCTGACCACACTCTGTTGGCCTTCCCCCCAAATGCCCTTATTCCTTTCTTACGTTTATTCCTTTTCTGGGCACTTGCCTGTAGTGCTGCTCTATTGCCTTCTTTGCTCCTGAGTAGAAACTGTGGCCTCCAGGAACAGAGAACTCTTCTCTTGAAATGCTTAGCATTAGGGGCTCTAAATGCCACATCAGCCAATCCCGGCAGTATTCAGAAGATTCCTCCTCATTCTGCAGCAAGAGAGCTTCCTTCTTTCTTTCTATGATGTCCTGGAAGGGAAATGTAGGGGAATAAAGTGATCCAACTGAGATCYCCTGGGAAGAAGCCATCTGACAGCCTCAGAGTGATCTGGGACATGGAAAGGAGTTGGGAGACATACTTCAGTCCCAGGTCTGGTCAATTCTCTGTGCAATGGAAAATTATCTTAACTTCCTTAGGGTCAACTCCGATCTCTGTAAAATGATGGAGTTGGAAGATATAAACTTGATGGCTTATTCAGCTATAATATTAATGAAGACATAAACAGTAAAATAACTAATAAAAAAATAAATTTGGACTAGAAGTAAATTTTTCAGGGAATATGGATTRCTGTGGTTGAAATTATGTACATGGCACATAATTCTCCAAGGAATGAGTTGAGTGTATTCTGAACAGAATTTTGAACCCTTCATAAATTATTTCAGTGAGGGTTTAAACGTGTGAGGATTCAGGAAAGAATGTTTTGATTGTTTATACTTGTAAATTACAATCCACTAGATTTTCTAAGAGATTTTTGTTGGTGTTCTGTCAGTTCCAGATGGACTAAAAGTCAAACTTCCAGTGAAGGTGCCTKTTGTCAGCAGAATTAGGCAGTCTCTGAGAGTTTCCTCCCTTGGTGTCCACACCCTTCTTTGTCCCTGGGCCTATGAATATGATGGATATTAATTCTGTGATTCTAATATGTTACATAGCACAGGTTGACTTTTTTTTAAAAAATGGAGAGTACTCCATAGGACATCATCTAATCACACAAACTTTTAAAAGCAGTTTTCTCATACTGTGGCATAAGAGAAAATCAGAGAGGCTAGAGAAGGTTTTTTTTATTACTATTGGTTGTTCAAAACCTTACAAGGCTCTTGACATATCATATTTCAGACATTAGTTTCAAGGTTTTGAAGGGTGCTTGCTTGTTTCAAAGTGGAGAGGGCTTCCCCAGAGCACCAAGGTGAAAACTAAGGCAATTTGAGTCCTTATTTTAAGTGGGTGGCGCACTGAGAAGAGCACTCACACACCCTGTGCAGACATCTGACTGTGAGCTAACACTTTCATTTCGCTTTAAGCTGCTAACTGCTTGATAATTTGTTTTGCAGCAATACAAATTAAGTGCCATCTTTTAGAGAAAGGATGCACAGTATCCTGAAGAGCTCAGTTGCCCACAAAAACAAAAAACCAAAACCAGTTCTTTCTATGATGAGAATGATGCAAACTCTGGAATCTAAAGAGTGGAGTCCAAGTCTCATTCCAGAAGGAGAGGAATCAGGGAGGATGAATAAAAAGACAATTACCACCAGCTTCTTCTGGAACTCCTGCTTGTCCTCCTTGAAGGAATGCTCCATGAAGACTGCGATGGCTTCCCTCTCACAGGCTGTGTGCACCTCCAGCAGCTCCTGGAGTGTGTCTGTGGGGAACTGCACCCGCTGGGCCATCTGCTCACTGTAGTAGTTGGCTGTCTTCTGCAGGGCTGCTGAGTTCTCACACTGGGCCAGAGTGGTCACTGTTTTCCAAGCAAAGAATGGTTCCTTTGTTGATGGCATTTACACAGGTTTCCACCAGAGTCCCCAACCCTAAGTGACATGGAGTACATGAAAAATCTTACTCATCATTTTTACAAGCTTTAAGTATTGGCATTATATAAAAAAGAATCACAAAAACTCTACTTCCTCTTCTTCTACTATAGGTTCTGTTCTTCCTTTGTCCTGCCCTCCATGAATCAATCACTATTTAATAACCTTGTTTTTCCTATATATTCCTTCTTTTAGAGTTCTCACATTCACCCCATTACACAATTACTGATTGCAACCAATAACTGTTTAGTGTCTTATAGAAAAATACTTCTCTGTTTAAAATAAAAAAAATTATTAGAGGAAGTAAATGACACAATTTGTGAGTCTTGATCTAAAATTAAAATGCATGTTTTCTTATAATAAATATCATCAGAAATTTACAGAAAGCAATGTAGAGTTTTGAAACAAGAATAGTCTCATCTGCACATGGGGACTGCAGGATTGCATAGACCACATGTTCCTGAAGCCAGTGCTGTTTAGCTTTGTTTCTCAAAAAAAAAAAATGAGCAGGCCTGGGACTCATGACCTGCTAGTTTCGTTCTCACTACTTTCAATTCATAAAATATATTGTATATTCTCATTGAGAAACATTTAATCCTATGTGACTTTCCCTCAACTTGCAGATTTTCTCTCCTTAGTAGTAGCTTCTGATGGTATCCTTAATATACTAATTTTGTGAGATGTGTTAAGCTTCAACAAGTCCTCAGGTATGAAAACTTTGAGAAAAATTTATTTCTGTGTGTGGCATGAATGCCTGCTTCTCCACATTTCTTACAAAAGCAAACAGAATTACTGACAAACTCACAAAAGAATCACAGTGTTATCATACATACTGACCCCCCCAGAGACACGCACTGGGACAACAGAAACTCACAATTTCCAGTGACAATGATTCCCCCTCTCAGGGTCTTGGTCTTTGCCTTGGTGAAGACATAGGAACAGAAATTTTTTGATTACACATGAAAATTTCTTTCCAGCTGGTTTTGTGGAACTTTATCAATGTGATAAAGGCTTCTGTCACTCTTAGGCAAGTCAAAGACAAAGCACTTTCGTTTTGGAAAGAAACATCTGATACACTCTCTAGACCTGTTGRAATTTTGGATTTTCTCACTCTTTCCTGTAAAAAAGAACACTCATTGAGTATACAAGCCTGTAGGAAAAGGGATTGAGGACTTTTCTAAGAATCTTTGCCTAACTGCAGCTCCCAAGCCACTGATCTTCCTTCATTCAATCATAAAGAAGCAGTGTTAAGTTAACTTGAAGTACTTTTGGAGAGGAAGGGGAGACAGATACTCATCATAGGTGGAGAAACCTATAAATCGTCTCCTTACCCTTTGCATCATGGCAGATAAATTAATTATTAAAAGATTGAAACGACTGATTAATCACAAAGATTATCAGAAAGACTTTTCTGATATTGCAGTCCCATGTGATAAATAAGATGTGGGCTCTTCACTAAGGTAATGCTAGAAATAAGGACAAGATGTTGCTGGGAAAAGTAACATGAAGAGGACAGATGATACCCAGAACTGTAGAGAAAATGCTTCAAAATCAAAGCCCCAAATTCACACACCATAATTATGTCTAGAATTTCCTTCCACAGAAAACTCCAAAGTAAAGTGCATTTCAATGTGATGTGTAMTTCTTGATGTTGTATTATTTTGGATTTGACTTTGTCTCATAGAGATTCTGTGGCATAAATCAGCTGTGCAAAATAAATGTTAATTCAAAGAATTTATTAACAGTACTTATCTACTCTGCTAAATAGTAAAATGACACCATGTAAGTTTGTGGGATAAATAAGGTGATGTTGTCAAAAAGGTAAAATGAAGACTTAGACAGTATCACTGGGTTCCTGGCCCCCGCCCCCATGAACGATTTATTAGACAAACATCTTTTCCCTGAAGAATGTTACTATATACTTTGGAATAATGAGTGAAATATCTTTTAAAGTAGGTCCTTACATTTCCTGCGATTCTAGGTTTACTTATTTCTAGGTTGATAAACTCTTTTCCTCAAAATATGAGGAGCAATTAGACTTCATAAGTAACAAATATATGAGCCKTAAAAGTGATGGCATTGAGTGTAATCCTCACAATTTTCATGGTACTGATTGTTCTAAAATTATTGGGTACAACATTGAGCCTAAATCTCCTTAGTAAATCTAAATCTTAGCCTCTGAAGATTATTATAAAATAAATATGAAAATCATGGACYCCTCTCAATCATCATCACCATTAACAAGAGCCTCAATTCCAGTCTCAAATAAACAGTTATATTGAGCACTGACAGACAAGGCTTAGCTGATCCCACCTCCTAATTGAAACTCCCCGCACCAAGGTTACCTTTGGATACCTGAAATCAGCTTCAAAGCATTCTYCAGGTACTCATCTTCTGTGATGGGGTGTCCATTCAACTTCAGTTCCAGTGCGAAATCTCGAACAGTCCAAACAAAGTCTGGAAAGAAACTCACAAACTCAAAGGAGTCCTCTACTTCATCTGGTGTGGGGTCAGATTTTGCCCTGATTAGTTGTGTTAGTTCAGTCACATAGCTGGGATCTTAGATAAGGAATGAGAAACAATTTCCAGATCACTTAGCAATAAGTTTTATGTACATTCCTTTTTTTTTTTCCCTCAGAGTCTACTCTTACTCAACCAAGACAATCAAGTTAGAAGATAGAAGGAACAGTCTCAGTTGCTATTCTCTTAACCTCCCTCGATAAGACATGACTGATTGGTTCTTGGAAGGATACTGTAGCTGCTCCAGGGCATGGTGGTCAATASTTCCCATGCTGTTGTAGACAAAGGTGCTGCTAAGAAGCACTGCCAGGACAAAGATCCAGGAGTCATTCTTAGGGTTACCCCAGGAAGCACACGAGAGAAGAACTTAGAAGTCTACTCTTCATTCATTTGTTCATTTAAAGTTATTCATTCTTTCTTTTAGCTGTACTCTTTCTGAATATAGGTGAAATAACAGAATTTTAAGATAATGCTAGATTTAAATCCTGTTATTGATATTTACATTTGTCTCTCTCAGAATATTAGTTTGTGTAGCTATGAAGATAAATGAAATTCATTCTCAATGTGCATAAAATAGTTAATAAAATACCTAAGACATAGTAGGTGTCTCATAATAACTGGGCAATAACTCACGACAAATTTCATCTTCATYATGGCTGTAGTAAGGATGYAATCACWTTTCAATTAAGTTGAAMAACACTTTTTTTGACATCTGACAAAATGCCACACCCTGCATTTGGTTTTGTAGATACAAAGTTCTGACAGTCTCTGCTCACAGGAATATCACTTTATAGAGGTGCAGGTACACATTACACATACAAACACAGACCAAATGATAATCTGTGAGGAGAGGGAACCAAAATTATTTTAAAGAAAGAGGGAGGGGGCAGGGAGAAAGGAAGGAAGGAAGGAAGGAAGAAGAAATAAAAGGAAACAGTGGGGTGGGGAGGTCCATAAATGTGAATAATTGCTCTGAGAATTCAGAACAAGAAGTCATTAGCTGAGTTTTGAAGAGCTGATAGAATATGGAATTGTGGAATTTGCAGGGGTCCAGCAAGTGGAAGGATTAGCAGCAGCAAGCCTCAGTTGTTAGAGCACAGAGTTCTTTTATTTCACTGAAGTGAGTGTGCAGGCCAGAGTGAAAACAGAGACCTAAATGATATTAATGGCAAGACTTAAAAGGCTTTGAAATAGATCCAGATGCTACTCAAATCCCGTTACCAGTTGTATAGTAGTTCTGCTGCCATTGATTTATGTTCTGTTTTTTGTTGTGGGAATTCTGTGTTTGAAATTGGAGTCTACAAACTTTGTGATGGTGGCATGCTGGTGACTAGGAAGTTCCTGTGCAAAGACACAGAGATACCTAGCTACTAGGAAACTCCTGTGCAAAAGCACAGGATGCCTGGCTGACAAAGCATTTTCCTTCACAAGTTTACCCTGTTTCCCAGACCTGGGATGCCCAGCCTCCTCCTTCTGAGGTAATAAGACAACTATGCAGGCATTATCTGGTCACCATGGTAATGCCCCTAGAGAATAGGGGCCCCCTGTTTATTCTAACCTGGACCTTATATCAGTTAGCTAGCACTCAGGGTTAAAGAAATACTAATTAGAATATAGTCATGGTAACGGGAGGTATGTGTTCTTTGAGTTAATAAACCCCAGGCAGGGAGGAGAGGACACTTCTGCACTTCTTCTTCACCACTTCACTTCACTCTGCTCCATCCTGTCTGGTCACTTGTACTCTTTGTGTCTGTGTCTGTTYTTTGCGCATCTCCTCACAGGTATTACTCCACAGGTGATCCTTTACATTTTGTCTCTTGACAATTGTAATTAGATATAAAGAAACGGTTTTATGCAAACCACAACATATTACAAATCAATCATCCATACTGGTATTCTACTGAGAGGACAACTGAGAACGCAAAACTGAATTTTTAAATTCAGAATTTCTAAATTTTTAAATTCAGAATTTCTAAGTCTATGCTTTCCTTCCTTGCCCTGCCCCCTTACCAAATGTGCAGTACTGAAGCCAAAGATCTACTGCTGCTACTTTCATAGATTCAGACTAATATAAATTAGGTAAAAAGACTGATTTCAACTAATTGTGTAAAGATTAAACACCTAAAGTTTTGCCATTTGCTATAATTTTATTGGATCTAGCTCATGCTTTTAGACAGTGAAAATTTCATGTCCAGAGCTCAGAGACCCGGACTAAAATCTTAATGATGAAGCTGAAATTCTTCTGAAGATTATTTAAATAGATTCCTTTGCCAAAAGCTTTTTTCATGGCCTCTAYTTTTTTTTTAAGAGAGAGTGAGAGAGGAGAGAGAGAGAGAGAATTTTTTTTAATATTTATTTTTTAGTTCTCGGTGGACACAACATCTTTGTTGGTATGTGGTGCTGAGGATCGAACCCGGGCCGCACGCATGCCAGGCGAGCGCGCTACCGCTTGAGCCACATCCCCAGCCCCATGGCCTCTACTTTTAATGTTACCAAACCCACTGACTCCACAGATTAGAGCTTTCTTCAGGAAGCTTTCCCTAACTCTCATGGCTGGATCAGTTTCCCACTTTTTGCATCTTTTCCTTATACTGATCTCATTCCATATTTCTTGTCTCTAAAAGGAGACTCTAGGTCTTTACCTTATTGACTGATAGATTTGTAGCACTTAGCACGGAGCCTTGGACTTCAGTTGTTTGATGTATATTTATTAAATTAAATTTCACATCTCAGTGTTAAAAATAAGATCTGTCTTAATTTACCAATGTTATTTTTTTGCATGTGAGGTGTCCCCCAAAAGCTTATGTGTGAAACAATGCAAAAAGGTTCAGAGGAGAAATGATTGGGTTATGAGAGCCTTAACCCAATCAGTGAATCAATGCCCTAAGGGGATTAATTGAGAGGTAACTGAAGGTGGGGAAGGTGTGCCTGGAGGATGTGGGTCCCTGAGGGCGTACTTTTGAGGTACATATTTTGTATCTGATGAGTGGAGTCTTTTTCTCTTCCTTGATCAACATGTGAGTCATTTCCCTCCACCGAAGTTTTCCATCATGATTTGCAGCCTTACTTTGATCCCCAAAGGGAGCCAGCTATSTATGGACCAAGTCCTCTGAAATCATGAATCCCCAAATAAACTGTCCCTCCTAAAATTGTTCTTGTCAGGTTATTTGACAGTAAAAAACAAATGACTCAAACAACCAAAGTATTTTAGGTAGCTAGAGAAGTTTGAGGAAATGGAATTTAGTAGCCTCATTATTCATAATTGGATTGCAAGTACAAGAATATATCTCAGATGTCGGACTGAGGTGACCAATTGAATGRCACATGAATAAAGAGTACAGCACATTCTCTGCCTCACCTTTTCCACATCACCCAGACCCTCAGTGTCCAGGAGGACCAGGGTGTGGTTTGGCTTGCTGGAGTGGGGCACACACCACATCCAGATGCCCTTGGTTTCAGCCCTCACTGTGGAACCCAGGGGGAAGCCTGTGAGGGAAGAGGAGAAGATAACCTGGAGTGAAACTGAGAGGTAAAGCTGCCAGGGGTTACAGGGGTTAAATCTATAGGAATGTACAGTGTTGAGCAAGGTAGTATTTGCTACTATTTCACAAGGATAAATCAATACAAGTGTTGTCTATCTTTCTCAAAAACACTCTGTGACCCCAATTCGCCTCATTCTTTCAAGTGCTCAAATTCTTTCACGTTACAGAATTAGTGTAAACTCTATAAACCAGTATTTTCCCACATATTTTTATCTGACCAGGAAAAGCTCCAGTGTCCTCTGGCTTCAAGCTGAGTTCAACTAGTTGTTGAACAAGGGAAGTTTTTGTACATGTTCACCAAGATATCAATTTGAGAATATGAGRATATTTATAACTACCTTATTYATTAAAGATAAAACCTGGAAATAATACCACTGCTCATCAACAACAAATGGATAAATAAATTGTGGTATCCTCAGACATAAGCATACTACAGTGTAAATTCATTTGAAAACAAATAAATTACAGATATGTGTGTCAAACAGAGGATGCACATAAACTTCTTCTTGAGCAAAAGAAGAAAGACACACAAAAATACACACACCAAAGTCTGTTTTATATAAAAGTCAAAAGAAGACCAAACTAAGGTATCCTGTAGTATGTATAATAAACTACAGAATCATTATTTAGAAGCAAGAGTAGAGTGTGCCCTGAAAACCAAAATATTGATGAGCTTTGGTGACAGTGTGAGAGGATGATTTGGCTTTTGAATGTTGGTAAGGTTTTGTTTCCTGATCTGGATAGTGATTACATAATTATTCACTTTATATTTATTAAATATGTTGTATATTTMTGCTTTTACTCTGTTATATTTTGCATATTACAAAAGACTAAGTAAAGAAAGCAGCATGCTAATTTATCAAAGATTTGCTATAAATTGAGGAAAAATGGATGGGTAGCTCAATTTGAACATTGGATATAGAGAGATCTTACTGTGCATCTTTCTGCCCATCCATTTTTTTAAAGGACAAAATTAACTATATTTGCATGCTATGTCAAATGGTCATATTGCTTGGACAAAAGGATTCAGATGAGGGAAAGGGAGTGAATGCYAGAGTCTCAGAGAAGGTGAGAGTGGATGGCATCAGGAAGAACAGTGAAGCAGATATTTTGATAAGGTTGGAGAGCTCTTTATTAATGGACAAAGAATGAGATAATTTTGGACAGGTGAGAGGTTATAAATATGCTGGTAAGAATTAGAAATTTTCCTTAGTGGAAGGATTGATTTGCCTCTTCCTTTATATGACCCTAGAGAAAATGAGATCAGTTTGTCCTATTTGTGGTTCCAAGCAACTGCCCTTGCCCCAGGACCACACTCACCATGATTCTGTCCTGCAAGATGATTCATGAGGTAGAATTTCCCCGTACGATATGTCCTTACAGTGGACACCACCACCACAGGCTGACATATATTTTCAAGAATCCTCAAGCCTTCTGAATTCACTGTCAGCTGCTCATTCCTGTTTCCCACTAAACAAATGGGGGTCTTCATAGGAGATTCAAATGCCATGGTCACCTGTAACTCTGAAAAGCCACTCAGTGAATCCCAGGATCTTGAAGCCATCTCTGATGGCTATTCGAGGCACTTACATGTCAATTCTCTGCTTGTGGAAAGTTTACATTAACTTTCTACATTTTGTATGTTTTTAAAAGGAAAAACATTATCTAGCGTGTTAAGTCCTAGTATAGATGACTTATGTACATTATCTTGTATTTCCTCTAAGGACTCAAAAAATGTTGCCTGCCAAGAGAACAAAATACAAGGAATAAAAATCAAGAAGGAATAAGTCGAATTATCACTGTTTGTAGACAATATAATCCTATACTTAAAAGATCCAAACACACCATCAAAAGACTGCTAGAGCTAATAAACATTTGGCAAAGTAGCAGGTTACAAAATCTGTACATACAAAAATCAATATATTTCCTATATACAACAATAAATCTGCTGACAAAGAAATCAGGAAAAAAAWTCCATTCATAATAACCTAAAAAAAGGAGAAAAAGAAAACAAAAACCTACTTTGGAATAAATCTAACCAAGGAGGTGAAAGACCTCTGCAATGAAAACTATAGAACATTGAAGAAAGAAATTGAAGAATACCTCAGAAGATGAAAAGAACTCCCATGTTCATGAATCAGTGACTTTTAAAATATTAATTATAATAATATAATTTTATATTAATTATAATAATATGATTTTATATTAATTATAATAATCATAATTAATTAATTATATTAATATTGTGAAAATGTCCATACTACCCAAAGTAATATATACATTAAATATAATCTCCATCAAAATACTAAAGACATTCTACACAGAACTAGGAAAAAAGAGTCCTAAAATTAATTAAAAAGAATAAAAGAGCCAGAATAGCAGAATAGTCAAAACATTTGTAAGCAAATGAAAAAAAAAGAAAAAGTAATTCTGGAGGCATCATAATACCTGACTTTAAATTATATGACAGAGCTATAGGAAAAAAACTGATTTTACAAGCATAAAAGGAGCTACATAGAACAATGGTACAAATTAGAAGAGACAGAAACAAACACATACTAATACAGTCATCTGGGCCTTGACAAAGTTGCCAAAAACACACCTTGGAAAAAAGACAGTCTTGTTAACAAACAGTGCTTGGAGAACTGATTACCTATAGTGAGATTGAAACTATTGTTGGGTGCAGAGCAGGCTGAACTGTGTTGTCTGCAGGGCAGGCTGAACAGATGTTGGCTGCAAGATAGCCCATGCACTCAAACCCCCCTCTATCTGGTCCTTTATCACCTGTTTGTGTCAAGTCCCGCT